TACTGTTCGAAATAAGCTTTTTTGATTTTTATCTTTTCAGATCAAACAGTGAAAATGTTAATTAAATAAAGACAATATTAATTGAAAATATCAACAAAATGGCGAATATATTTGAAGCTATGTTTTTAATGCTTGAAAGCAATAATGATGATAAATCCAAAAGTAAAGAAAAAGCAGAAAAGCCAAAGGAAGTGCCCTCTACGTCTAAGAGAAGTGATAGATATGAAAAGCCAAATATGTTTGAAAATATGCTAAAAAATTGTAATTCCGAAACTAAAGTTACGAAAGGTCATAAAAGTGCTATTGCTAATTTTGCTAAAAATCTAAGCATGTTGTCATTAAAGAAGGAAAACACAGTTGATAAATTAAGTGATTGTGACAAAGGTCAATCTGAAATTAATACTTTAAAGACATCAAATGATGAACATGACAGTGGTGGTGATGATGATGGAAGTGATTTAGATGATTTCATGGTAGTTGATGAAGTGTCCTCGTCAGATGAGGATGCTGGTTCTGACATTGATCAGACAAGAAAGGATAAATCTGACATATTACAAAAGGAAGTTACCACCTCAACACCTGTTGTCAGCAATCCTGACAAGATGTCTAGAAAGACGGAGGAATCAATTCAAAAGTTGAAATCTCAAGTAATGAATGTAGCCAATGAAACAGTGTATTCAGATGTAACTAGTGACGAAAGTGGAGAAATTCATTCTGATGACAATTATTTAGACCTTAGTGATGAGGAAAATTCATTCATGAAGCGGGTTAAACTTGTTACAGAACCTAAAGTGACTTATGAAGAGCTTCTTTCGAAAGAGCTGAAGCTGAGAAAATTGAAATCACAGCCAAAAGCTCGGACAAGAAATACGAAGGGCGGTCCCAGAAATCCAACCATGCCTCGGAAAGAATGCATTGAAAAGTTCATAGCTGAGCAGAGGCATGTTGCAAGTACACAACAAAAGATTCAAGATGCTGACAGAAGTTGTAACTCAAATATAGACAATGAAAAGTTAAGTAGTTTGAGAATTGAGATGATGGATGGTGCCAAGAGAAAAATTTCAATTGTCAATGAAAATGATAAATCTTCCAAACTTACTTATGATACTAGAGAAAAGCTGAATGCTGCTGAGGCTAAAGGCAATTATAAGGATATTGACAAAAGTTCTAAAAGTGGTTCCGCAAATACTAATAGTGATGACGAAGATACTCATCCCAGTCTGTCCCTTAATGGACTGATAGTAGTTGATGAAGCTGGCTGTGAATCCAGTGAACATGAAGAAAGTGAGGAGGAGCAGTTTGATGTGATAGATTCTTGTCTTGATGAAGAAGAAGAAAAAGTATCATCACCACCAAGTGATTTTGAAAGTGGAAAGGATCCTGCACTCAAAACCAATAGAGACAATTCATCACTAAAAGAGAAGTTAAAAAATAATAACGATTCACCGCCCTCTAGAAATTTAGAATATTTTGTTGATGACTTAGATTCCAATGACAGTTTTTCAAATGCTATGGTAATCGATGAAGTCACCTCTCCGGAAGTTGATTCAGCGAAGCAAGAGAGCTATGAAGATTCAGGAAATACAACGACTAATGAAAACAAAATGAGTAAAGAGCAAGAAGATGTTTGCAATGATGAAGAAAATAAGGATGACATTGTCCAACCAAATGAGGTTGAATCTCCAGAGGACAATGATACTTACAACGGCTCGACTTCTATTAATTTAAATGACAAATCTGAGAAGGAAGAAGAAAAATCAATTCTGGGAAGAGCTGAATCTTGCGGAATTGAAAACAGTTGTGACACTTTCATGGAGACTGATTTTTTAAAACAAAATCTTGAAATACCATATTGTGATAGTGATGACCAAAAATCATGGATCATTGATGAAAGCAATATCAAACCTAAAGATACATCACAAAGCACATTAGAAAACAAATTAAAGAAAATTGTCAGTGAGCAGGAAAATGTCCCTGATCTTGTTTTAAGTGGTTGCTTGCCTCTTGCAACTGAACAAGGCAAATCTTTAACTTCAGTTCAGACTATGGATATAAGTGAAGAGGTTGACATAAGCTGTAAAACAGAAACTCTAGATGGTAAACCTCAAAAGTCGACAGATTCTAAAAGAAGAACATCAGAATCCGAATGCCAAACAGACTTCAGCCCATTGAAATCTTCAAGCCTCAAAGAAGATACAAGCTCTGTAACCACTAACCTTGAATCTCTGGTTTGTGAGGAAAGAATACCAGCCACAAAATTGGATTCATCGCTAGAGAAATTCTTATTAGGAAGGACAAAAGCTTTATCTAAGACCAGACAGACAAGACCATCAACTAAGTGTCCTTTAACGGAACGAGAAAATTTACAAAGGCTCTACACTGTAGTTCAGGTGGACTCCGCACAGAACAAAAAAGTGACTAAAATTAAAAACATCTCAACGCAAGAAAAAAATGATCAAAAATCTAAGATAGATAGATCAATAAATTCAATTAAAGAATTCCTTGCAATGGACCATCCGGTCAAAGTTCAGCTTAACAATGATAGTGAGGATCTAGATAATGAAAGTGAACAGGCTAATAGACAAATAATATCAACAAGGTCACAACCAGTTTCTTCATGGGATAAAACCTACAGAACATCAGCTAAAAGTGCTGTAACAAGTTGCACATATGTGACTGATAAGACACCCCAATTAAGTAAACTCCATTGTAATCCTGTATTATCTGCATGTGGTCATGCAAGCATACTTTCATCTGTGAATGATGTGAAAAATTTGTCTTCTGGCTGTTCAACTTTTGTTCCTGCTAGTGACCTTACTAGTTTATCTTCAGACACTTTGAACGTAATGAACTGTTCCACTGACATTTTGACACCATCTGCTTTTGACTCATCTCTTGGTGAAGGTAACGCAAGCAGTGAAAAGGCAACTGAACAATTATCTCTGTCTACTTCTTTGTCTTCTTCACCAGAATGTGGAAGGAAGGAATCAGCAACTATGACTTCCTCATCTGAAATACTTCTGTCATCAAATATAGCTTTAACATCTCCATCAAATAGTATAGCTATTATGTCTTCTTTATATTCGTCTAGTAAGGGATCGATGACAGTATTAGAAGATAATTCATCATCATCGACAAGAAATGTCGAGTTGACTTCAGATGGCAGGTACACCAAAACTTTAGTGCCTGTAAGCAATGTGAAATCACCAAATACTCACAAACCTGGTCAAGTTGTTTATGTATCACCCCCAGGACAGGATCTGTCTCCAAATTTCATTCCCACAACCACTTCACTAGTTACCCATGGTGGATCAAGTAAACCCTGTATAATCCTCTCTCCAGAACACAGTGCCACTGATGGTCAAAATACAGTAAAGATACTTTCTGCAAAAAATATGTTACCTGTGACACCAAATCAAAACCATATGCACAGTTTAATCAGTTCACCCAAGACTGGAACTAAACCATCTCCAAAGTCCCAACCTTCTTCCAGTGTAAAATATCTCATAACTCTAAAGAAGTGTGACAAGAATAGAAGTGAAATAGACTCCCAACCTGAGACAATATTGACCTCAGACTTGGTCCAGAGTTTGACAAAAATAGGAACAACCAGTGTGGTAAACTGCCAGAAATTGGTGATCTCTCCTGCCAAGAAAATCAAGGTTATTCCTGGTCAGCCTAAAACATCGACTCCAAAACCTGTGGTTGATGAACAGGTTATTGATCCAGCCTCTAACGTATCAAATCATACTAAAGGCATGTCCAAGCCTACAAATATACCAAAAGAACCATCAAACATATTACCACCACCACCTTTGATTAAGCATCCTAATATTCATCCACAGAAACAAGTAATGGATCCTTTGCCTGCAATTGAATCTTCCTTATTGCATGTGGACAATCCTCAACCATCTTCATTGATGAAATATCATGACATTACTGGTATTGGTGTCAGTGATTTGTCACAGCAAGGCACTCGAAGAATAGCAGATCAACAGTCAGATGAAACTCCTTTTAAGATTTTGAAAGTAAGTGACTCTGTTTTAGAAGGAGTACCAAAGAAAAAGAAAAGAGCACGTAAAAAACCCAAGAACCCACAGTCTGTTCAGTATATTTATTCTTATCCTGTCGACTACAATAAATCGCAGGAAATCATTGAAAACCAGGATAAAGAAACACAAAAGGCTCCAAAACGATTGAAGAAAAGAGATCTAGTATCGGTCAATTTGACTTGTGGTATGACTAATAGAGAGTTGTATATGCCTCCCAAAGACAAACTTGACAATTTTCGTGGACGTTTTCTGGTAGGAAAAGTAAATGGTGCTTTCATATGTTTTAAATGTAAGAGCAAATTCTCTGAAGTGAAATATTTTCGTTGGCATTTGTGGTATCACATTCATTTACATTCTGATTTTTGCCCGACATGTGACTCTCAAGATCCTCTGGGTGAGTGCACCACAACAGACAGCCTCCTTCAAACTGTGGCTGGTCTTGAAAATGAACAAATATTTTATGTCATGACTAAAGGTGAAAATGCAAATTCTTTTGAAACTTACAAATCTCTGAATGAAGTTGCATCAGACATTTATTCACCAGATGAAGTGAATAATCAGTTACTTTTGTCAGAAGCTGTTAATTTAACAACAAGAGTAGAATCCGATATCTCAAATGATAATAAATATGGATTTGATCCTAATGCCACTACTGAGGAACTCCAGCCAGAATCTGTCAACCATAACAATAATGCAGCGGTTGAGATTGATGCTAACAATGGAACTGACAATGACAATTTCATGGGGCTAAAGATTTTGAATACTTTTTCTTTATCGGGCGTGGAAAGTGATTTTCCTTTGGCTTCAAGTGATGTAAAGTATAATCCATGTCAATCACCTTTGAATGAGAACTTGGCGGCGAGGATTCCAGTGTCTACAAATACCTCGGACACTAGTACAAGTAGATCAACATTACTAGATGGCACTGATAGTATTTGTGGATCATTTTATAAGTGTTCATTATGTGACTTTTCCACACTTTTTCCGTCTGAATTTAAAAATCATGTTTATGGGAATCATATTAGATCTTATATTTACAAGTGCTATTACTGTGATTTTGAAAGCTTTGGTGCAGGTAACTATATTAGTCATTATGGAGACCATGTGAACTTTGTAAAAGAAGATTGTGTTTTCTCTTGCACCTTTCCAAGTTGTGAGGACAAAGTGAGTAGACTAGAGCAGCATTTAAAACATTTAGAATCTCATAAAAACTTGAAACCTCTTTGTTGTCAATGTTCAATGGAGTTTCCTTGTCTGAAGTCTTTGTCAGAACATTATAAAAAGAACTTGGTCTCATTATTTTCGTGTCAATACTGTGATGCCAAAGCAGTTGATAAAAAAACTTACCTACATCATGTGTCCCAAATACATTCACTGAAAGCTCGAATGGTTATGGTACGAAAGACATTAATCTGTCACATTACAGAACAGGCTCAATCTACAGTTGAAGGCAGTCAATCTAAACATCCACCACTATCCAAATTTCTATCACCATCGGATGTGTGCTTTTCAACATTTATCTGTCAAAAGTGTTCCTTCGTTTGTAATGACAAAGCGGGGTTTTTAAATCATAAGAAAATTCACAGCTCTCTGGAAATTGATACAAGACTGGTGTTTACTTGTCCTAATTGTCCTGCTGCTTATAATTCATTGAATAATTTGTGGCAGCACCTGCAATATCATGATGAAGTGATAGAATTTTATGTCTATAAATGTCCACATGATGATTTTACTACTAATGATCAAGAGAAAGGAATACTTCATTGCAGAGAGTTACATCCTGAGATCCAAGAACTTGTGCAGCAGAGTGTCATTACGTATAAAAATAGCATACACCATTGTAGATTGTGTGGAATCAAAGTCAAAGAGCGAAATATTTTCCAACGCCATTTGTTGATCCATGGCAAAGATGGTGAAAAGGTAGCTCAATCTCTCAGACCTATGGCAGACTTTGATATATCAGCTTGCATTAAACCAACACTAGCTGTTAGACCATCACTTATTCAACGTATGAAACCAGTTTCCACGTCACCAAAGACTTCTAGTCCACAAAAAGCTTGTCCTTTAACTCCACAGCAAAGAAGAATTGCTGGAGATGAGCTAAGTTCAGCTTCAGCTGATGAAGTGGAAGAGCATCAATCAATCAATAAAGAATTGCTGAAACTGAAAACTAAATTGAATAAACCTGTTCCAGTTGTATCAAATCCTGTCAACATGGTGGTTCAAGCTTCCCCAACTTATAAATACAGTGCTCAAATCTTGGACCAAAAATTAAAACTTTTATATACACACAAGTCAGGATTCTTCGTGTGTTTAATTTGCCAGTCTCTATTTCGGGTAAAAAACTTACTCAGCAACCATATTGTAGAACATTTGGAAATGCCCTATCAGTGTTGTAAATGTGGTAACCAAAATACTTCATATGATGCTGCAATATCTCATGCCCTGAAATCTCACAACATGGAGCAAATCAACATAATATATTCGGAAGCCATAAATGATAGGATCACCAAAATAGCTCAGTCTCTCAACACAAAGGCAACAAATGTTAGTCAGACTGCTCGCGATGAGTTTTCTAAACGTGTGAATATGTTACGCCAACATAAGATTTTCCAAAGCAGTGCTAAGACAAAAGCAAAAGTGTTTACAAATAGTGTACCTATTTGCACTGAACTTTCACCTAATTCTAATGATGCAGAAGAACAGAGAATGGAAAAGGCATGCAGATCTATGAGTGCAAAGGAGAGTGAAAAGATGGCATTTTTGCAAGAAGCAGAAACTGATGCTGCTTTGATGAAACTTTGTAAAAGAGGAGCAGAATCTAACTGGTGTCGTATTTGCAGTAAACCTTTTTCAAGATCCTCAATAGCTGATATTTTCATCAAAGAGCATATTTTGATAACACATTTGAAATATAAACCATATAAATGCCAACATTGTGACTTCTCTGCCTTTTCTCAGAAGTCATTCTCTGTTCATTCTCGGACTGGCCATGTTGGGACCTTCACCTTCATGGAAGAAAGGAATATTGGAAGTTTAGTCGATTCATATATGAAGGCTGAAAATATAGTGGTTGAAGAGTATTCAGTTGATCAAGAAGATATTGATACATTAGATGAAGACTTTGTTGTTGAGAAATCTCCAACCAAATTCCCAAAACAGCCAACTTCCTCGTCATATGTATGTGAGCATTGTAACACAAAATTTGATTGTCCATTCAAAATGTTAAGACATAAAAAATTAGCTCATTTGAAGACACCTTCTAATACAGCCAGAAAATCAACTACTCCAACTGCAGTACAGCAACTTTTGAGACAGTCCTCTGAAACCTCATCAACTCTTCTATGTGCTAGGAAATCAACTACCAAGGCAGCGAACAATCGTCAACCAAAATCAGCAACACAGTGTGCTAGAAAGTCTACAGCTGGCAAACGAAGACAAAGCCATCCAGGGACAGTTGTTCCTCCTGTTGAGAACATACCAGATGTTCAAAAATTTGTGTGTCCAAAGTGTGATTTTGTGACAGAGAAGCGAAAACGTGCCATGATTTATCATTTCAAGAAACATGGGTTTGAGTGCTTTGTGGAATGCAACAATTGTCAGGCCAAATATACAAGTATGAGACTACTGCTGAAACATTTTGAATTGATTCATAAAGGGAAAGAACTGCATCCAAATTATCTTCCCATTGAAAGTTATTTTCAACCTGTTAGTAGAGAAGAGATTTCAACATTAAAAATCAACAAACAGAATGCTTCCAAAGCTGTGCTGAATGTTGTAAAACCCACCAAACCCCTACCCCCATTTAAATGTGTGTTTTGTGACCTTGAAGAAATTAAAGAAGAATTCATGAGATATCATCTTTACATTCATTTGGACTACAAACCATTTAAATGTGATCAGTGTACTCAGGCTTTTTCAGATCCTTTTCAACAAAAGCAACATATAAATGGTGACCACACTCTAAAAGCCAAAGGTATATTTGATAAAATTAACATTTATGAAACAAAAGTGTCTGAAATTTTAATTGATTGTCGACGAGTAGTTAAAAAACATCAGACCTGCAGACCATGGGATCTGGAGGTGGTCCAAAATCAGCTATTGGAGGACTTCATGAATCCAGTCAATTGGGAGAACAACAAGGAGGAAAAGAATACGGAGAAAGAAAATCTCAGTATCAAAGAGGAACAGGACATCAAACCAGGGGAGTATCTGGTCACCCTTGCTTCCCAAAGTGACAGTTTGGTTACAAACAACAACTTTCAGTTTGATGAACATGATGAAAGCTTCTCGTATGATTCAGAACTCCCTGATTTGGATGTAGACATCAAACCTACTGTTGAAACTACTAAGTCCTTGGCAGATTGTGTAGCTTTAAAAAGAAAATCAAAAAGTTCAAGTATGTCTTATGTATCAAATAAACATCCGAAAGTTATCAACAGAAGTACTAAGTCAAAGAAGAAAAATCTAATAGAATCAGTTTTTGGGGTTTTGGGCAAAGACGCAAAAAAGAAACCAAGAGCAGCAAAGAGAACTTTGGATTCAGAAACAGAAACTTCAGCAAGCAAGAAGCCAAAGTATTCTGGTGAATTGGATGCTGAAGTTATTCTTTGTTACTACTGCTCATTTATGTCTGAGTCAATAACAGCAGTTATTTCTCACACCCATGATGTCCATCTGGGTGGCAGAAGAAAGAATAGTGCAGTTGGGATGTTGTGGGTCGACACAGTTACTGGTGGAACTTATGATTTTGAAGGACATATTTTTAGTAACGGATTTGATACGAATATCACGATTGATTTTCCCTACCTTTGTGGAACATGTAACTTCAGATCAGTCGAACTGTAAGTATGATATTGTATTGTTCAGAATAATGTTGAATTAGTTGCACTCCTAAAGTATGTCATGACCTCTCTTTGAGTGTAGCGCTTGTGATAATCTGTAGGAGAAGATGCAGATTTGATCAATCCAGTAAGTAAGTGCAAATCAGGCTGACTACTGTAATCTCTAGTATTACTAATTAAAAAATTGCAAATTTTACACCACTATATCCACTAATCTCGTAATTATTGCACTGCATGACATGACAGGGACAGGACAGTTGATTAGAACTGAATTTAGTTATAGGACAAAAGTCTATAATCAAAATCTATTTTTTTTTTATTCCAGAAGGCTTAATTTTCTCTTTTAAGCAGCTATCTTACAATTTCTTAATTTGTATAGCTTTTGTTTTTTAGCAATGATATTTATGAGCATGAGCAAATGCAGCATTTAGATCTAAAGTCATCAACAGCATTTGTTATAAAAAAATCCCTTGCTACCAGTAATGGAAGGGGAAGATCATCTGTATCTTATGATGAAACCAACCGTAGAAAACCAAATCGAATTAACTCAGATAAATCAAAAAAAGCAACTAGAAAAGGTTTGGATTTTGATAATGCTTAGTGCTATAAATTTTGAATATCATAATAAAATTTTATAAATCTTCAGAGAAAGTTCTGTTGGAGATATTTTAACATGATTTTAGACAGGCTGACATTGAAACTCCATTTACAGTTGAGTCTAAAAAAAAGAGCATTATTACCTGTTATCCTACATGTGTAGGTTATCACTTTCTTTCTTCATAAAACCAGTAGTATAAAATTTCATTTCAGATAAAGTTCCAGCTACTACCACATCCTCAAATGTATCATCATTAGCATCTTCTAAAACAGTATTAGACTCCTCCTCATCTTCAGACATATCAACAGCATCTAAAAATACAAATTGCATGAGTTCCAGCTTACAATATCGATGCTTGCGGTGTAACACCATATGTTACTCAGAATATGATTATCGTCAGCATTTAGCAACTCATAAAACTTTTAAGTGTCTTGTGCCAGATTTAGCAAGAAATCCACAACTGAAATGTGAAATCTGTTCCTATCGTTCTCAAGATACAGTTAAATTCACCAAACACATGATAGGCCATAATGGACCAGCTGTGATGTTCCTTTGTGGTTATTGTGGATTCAAAGCTATCAGTACTCGTGCCATAAAACTGCATCATCACAAGCGTCATGAAAATCAGAGTTTTGATATTACAAAGTTTGTAGATAAAAAATCTTTGTACAAAAATCATTCTCTTATTATTGATCTGGATCCTCGAGTGAAATTGGAAAATATTATGGAAATGTCTCAAGAAAGATTTTCGCGTATTTTAAACACATCAGGAAATGTCAGCTTTGAAAGTTGAACATTTTGTGTAACGTCAAATTTTGTAAGATAAAAATTTCACATTTTGACCCATTTTTGTTGCAGAATATTTTTGTTGAACCATTTAAAGTTTTTGTCTTAATACTTCGTTTCAAGTAACTAATTCCCTCAATGGCAAATTAAAAAGTCAGGAATTCATTAAAGAATCCTTTGTTATTTTTTGTTGATTTTGTTACAAGATTTTATTGTAGTTTTTTGTTAAAGATGTATTTAATGTTTTATCTTCAAAGATTTGAAGTCAGAATTGAACCCATGTATTAATGTTATGAATTTAAATAATTGGACAAGAATTAATAATAAATTTTTCAAATTTTAAATCATTTTGTACCTTATACATGAAATTTGTAGCTGTAGAACAATGTTATCTGTGGAATAAAACTGCTTATTTGAATGATTTGGAAAAAACTTGGATTTCCGAATGAAAATCATAACTTGGTCCCAGAAACGTGAATTGTTCTGCCAAACTAATCAGTATTGATTTCCACGGCGTACCATCAAAATTTGAGCCTTCAAATTCAAGTGTATCCATGATTATCTATTTTTGAAAGTTATTTTAATGAGTCATTATTTTATTTTGAATATCTGTTGATGACGTCATCCTGTCCCACTTTGTCTACGCACATTTTGGACAGAAGATGTCTTGGTGTCCAAGACTATATCAACAAGACATTCAACTTTCGAATACCCTATATTTTAGAGAGAAGAACAAAATAAATAATAAGTAAAATTTCTTGTTTGAGGTCTATTTTCAAACAAAAATTGAACAAGGCTGTTAGGAACAGTAGGATCTCTTTGTGTGAATTTGCCTATGTTTTTCATATCGTTATTCTTAGGATCACATCCTTGAGTGTATTTTTACTGACAAATGCCTCTTAATGCTCTGTAAACCTGTGTTGGAATCTATTAGTCCTCGAAAAAAAATTGTACAGTAAATGAGGCCATTTAGGTTAGTCCTTTGCCATTTCTTGCCTTAAATTTTGTCAAATTTGATCAATAATGTAATTGTATACTTGTCATTTGAGTAAATTTAAATAAGAAAAAGATTTTTGCAACTCGTTATTATTACTTAATGAATATCCCTCATATTGGAGACATCGATAATTATGAAAATGTCTTTTGCTCTTAGAATATGGCTAGAAGGCTGCAGTTCAGAGGTGCTTGATAATCAAAGGTCATCATCTCAAGATCATGGATTCTAAATCTGGGCTCTGTCCAGATACTGGTAGATGAAGGTTGGTTGACCATTAATCATCATTCCTGTTTTGATGAGTACGGTTTCATCAGCCATGATAACTGTTGCTGGCAAGAGTGGCAACTGCTGCTTCCAGTCTTAAAATTTATATATATTCAATTGAGACAAAATATTAATCAGTTTTAAATATTAATTGTTTAATCAAAATTAATTACAACAAACAAGCAGAATTTACAATTATTGTAAGAACACAAGCAGGGTTATTTAATGAATACAGTAATAAATATGGTAAATAAACAATACGATCTATGACTAGATAAACTCTTCTTATGTTGGTACTTGGGATTGTGGCAGTGGATAACTCTGTAATCTTTTGTGAAATGGATTGTACCCTACTGGGCCCTAAGATACTTCAGGGTTAAGTAATATGATCCTTTTTTTAAATGAAAAAAACAGACACTAATATTAATCAAAATAGGGTAACATTTTGCAACATAATTCAACATAATCTAAATCTGCAGTTTGGGTCAGACTTTGCAGATGTTCTTGCCACAAATCCCCAGATATTATTTCTTATATATGGAATGTTAATATCAGAAAATGAAGAGGCTATTGGTTGTTAATATAATTAAAAAAAAAGAAAAATTAAAAAATATATTTCTCTTGATATGAGCTTCAAACAATGATGGTCTTTGTATTATCATATAAGGTAAAAAGTATGGCAGAAAATATAAAGTACATTATGCTCAAAGCTGCAAGTAATAAAACAACAATATCAAATATCAATGGACTTTCACAACTGGACAATAAACATTACAAAAAGTTGTTCTGTAAATAATCTTCATATTAGTATGTATGTATCAAGTAAATAAAACTAATTCAATGGCAATTTAGTGAAGTAATATTAGAAAAGAATTAGTTTGAAGAGATTAGATCAATACATTTTACTTCCAGTACTTGTGCCATAAAACTGCATCATCACAAGCGTCATGAAAATCAGAGTTTTGATATTACAAAGTTTGTGGATAAAAAATCCTTGTACAAAAATCATTCTCTTATTATTGATCTGGATCCTCGAGTGAAATTGGAAAATATTATGGAAATGTCTCAAGAAAGATTTTCGCGTATTTTAAACACATCAGGAAATGTCAGCTTTGAAAGTTGAACATTTTGTGTAATGTCAAATTTTATAAGATAAAAATTTCACATTTTGACCCATTTTTGTTGCAGAATATTTTTTCTTGAACCATTTGAAGTTTTTGTCTTAATATTTCTCGTTTCAAGTAACTAATTCCCTCAATGGCAAATTAAAAAGTCAGGAATTCATTAAAGAATCCCCAAAGAAAACCTAAACTTATAACAAACTTTTATGGTACTACTTTACTCTTTCAATCTTAAATTTATGCTTGAATCATAATTTTTATTTTACTTCATGCGTAATAGCTAACAAGGTTCAATTTTAATGATATCCCATAATAATTAGCCATCCAATTTTATTTGACTAATTTGAGAACATCATAATGTCGGTTTCTGAATACTCGTTTAAAATGTGGTTCTGGATTTTCTCTCAATATTTCACAAACTGGTGTTTTCCCTTGATTTTCTTTATCCTCTACATCCCAGATTTCTGGCATTGAACAACCTGGCCTGTAAAGAAAATTCGAGTTTTTACCACTTAGGCTTATATCAAGGAAATTAAAGATAGCTTGCCAGTCAAGGTAACATACGCCCACTGGCAGCTTTCAGAAATGATAAAGTGACTAAAGTATGAATTTTCTCATATTTAAGAAATTTTAATAGTTTGTATTCATTGATATATATATTTACTGCCAATTATTTATGCTGAGAAATTCCACTAAATTTTTAAAAATTTATATCAATAACCCAAATAGATCAAATTATTGCATCAATATACATGATCACACCATATTTATTTAAAATACAGTTGAAAATTTTGACACGTTTTTCCGAAGTCAAAGGCAATAACTCAAAAACCGTTCAACGAAAGATCGTCAAATTACAACTTGTCCAAGATCTCATTAGTATAAATGATCACATCAAATTTCATTAAAATCAGCTGAAAACTGTAGTCTTTATTGTGTTCACAAGAAATGTTGACAGACCGACGGACAGTGGCGACAGCAATATACGTCCACCTTTCCATGTGGGCATATAAAAATGAAGATAAATATCCAGGAGTGTATGAAATGAAGACATTTTTCCAGGAGCTAATGAAATGAAGTCACATATTCAGGAGCTTATGAAATGAAGTCATATATCAAGAAGCTTTTGAAATGAAGATAATACAGGAGCTTATCAAGTGAGGTCATAAATCCACAAGCTTATGAAATGAAGTCATATGTCCAGGAGCTTATAAAATGAAGTCTTATATCCAGGAGCTTATAAATGAAGTCATATATCCAGGAGCTTATAAATGAAGTCATATATCCAAAATCTTATGAAATGAAGTCGTATATCCAGGAGCTTATAAAAAGAAGTCATGAATCCAGGAGTTAATAAAATGAAATATTGTTCAGTTAATGACTTTGTTTATGCATGACTCTATGTTGAACAATAAAAGAAAACAACATTGAAATAAGTCCAATTGTTAACCTACCTTGTTCTTCTGACACACCAAGAATTTTCCAAAATAGCATAGTCAACTTTTAACTGAAGTAAATTATTTTTAACAACATCTACTGGTTTTCGACTGAACATACTGTAAACTTGTAATGTTCGGGCTCTGTTAACATAAGAATACAGTTATAAAAATTAAAATGGAACATGAATCATGTTTCAAAACAATCATATCTATTTTAAATAAAATTTGTCATTTTTCTCAAAATATACTGTGCATAAAATTAATAATACAATTACATATGCCATTTTTTTTTATTTTCTTTTCCTGTACTTCATATTCACAAGAAAAAGCTCAAAATACTGTACCTGAGACCTGCATCTTCATAATGTGGATGATTAACAATGAACCTTTTGGTAGTAAGTTTTATGGTGGCCATGGTAGGCATAGGTCCAGCAAATACATCATCTATAATTACATTGTCAGTAATTCAATAAATCTCTAGATAAATGGATATGATATGACCAAAAGAAACATTTAAGTGCTTGAATTATTCCATGTACAAGCATTTGATCTTAATTGCAAGTATTTCTTTATCACTTTTGAACAAATGGTAAACTATATTATTGTCATTGAATCTAAAAGGACAATATTTGATTGGAACTCGGAAGAAATGAAATGAATGAAATAACTTATATTACGTAGTCATATATTCTATGAGTAAAATGGTCTGAAGAATTCCCTCTAACCCAATCTTATATAATAAATTAAGCATCCTTACTAGGTACTGTATGATGTTGAACCCACTCTACTAATTCTTCCATTGGTAAATTACTAAATTCTCCCAGTATTTTCATCTGAGCTTGAATATTACCTACTCCTTTATAGCTAGCACCTGCTAGTAATAATGCTAACAGTCCAAAATGCCATTCTTTTTTATTAATAAAACTAAATAACTGAAATAACAACAGTATAAATATCAGTCTCATTAAAATTAGACCAAACTTTCCTTCCATTCTTTATTAGCTTTTATTTCTTATATAGTCACTAGTCTAACGACATCTGGTCAAATTGACCTTTTGACCAACATAATCTAACATAATCCAACATAATCTGATAAGCATTAGTAGCCTACAACAGTTTGTATTATAGAGTAAAATCATTCTTGGTGTTTCTATTTCCCAATAATTGTATATAAGTTGGTCGTTTTGAAACCCTCAATGATATCATGTTAGGCATTTCTATAAGCTCCCTTTAAAGTGGACCACCTATTAAAATATAATTAATATGACCGTGGACCCCACTCTGTTTTGTAACTTTAGTTTTCTTGGTGATGCGCAAGTTCTGAGAAAATCAAACATCTAACTAAACTCAAATAAATTAACTTACATCTCTACTAGCTAGGAGGGACGCCATTAAACAAAGATGAGGAGTAAAAAACAATTTTAATCTCATAATTAACACAGCCATTACAGTGAAGGCTAAAACTTGTAGTATATGGTAGATTAGCTGAAAGAGAAACTAGCCATTATATTAGCTATATATATCTTGATGTAACTATAGACACAGCCATAGTAATCTGGGTGAGATTTAATTATATTTGGTTTTTATGTTTTTAATCGAAAAATTTCATAAAATTCATGTAATTAAAATATTTGGTTTTTCAATATGTTTTTAGTTTCTATCGATTCTGTATTTGTAACAAATTGACTTATAAACATTTGTTAAATGAAAATTATGTCAAGCATTTAATAATAAGTTTAAGTAGTTTCTTACCTCAGCATGTGGTTTATATTTGCTACAAAAAAATATAGAAAAAATTATTAACATTCAGACAAGGTTGGTAATGCAGTAACTAAATTTTATCAAGAGATATATCCATCTAAATATTTCCATTACTTCTATTAGGTGGCTATTATAAATGTCTTTTCTTGAAGAAAATTTGAATCCTAAAAAGACGCTTTGAAGTAAGAGAGGTCCTACAATTTATGTAAATTAAAACCCTACCTGTGATCATTAATGGTATTTTTATAATCAGAATGAATTTCTTGAGATTCTTGTTTTCTCCAATCTGAGTATTCTCTTTTCATCACCTTCAAATATAAAAAAATAAACCACACAATTAGTGACCCTCTTTCAATAATCTTTATTGATTTCACTGAACCCCAAGCACTATTGAATTTTTTTTTTAAGCATGAAAGCAAGTGTAGTATGGAGAACCCATGGTCTTGAAGCAGAAATAGCTGGTTGTTTTGGGTCACTTAGTTGATAATTTGGGGAGAATAACTGGTTTGGATCTTGCAAGTCTTGATTTTGGTTGACAGTACACATTTAAATGACTGGTTGTGATAGTTTCCAATATATAAACTATAGGAAGTAACTATATCTTACAGTAAAAGTGATGGCTAATAAAGCTACAACAGCTGATGGTATTAATAATGTTTTATTTAATAAAACTAGAGTCTGAAAAAGAAAGACAAGTCAATAAGAATTATGATATAGAAGGAATATTGTGACTGAATTATTGTAGTGCTTCAGTTACCAAAATTATGTTACAGAATAACAATATAAATTACATTTCTTTTGAAAAGTCCATATCGCTAATAATATAATATTAAGTATTAATGTTTAATAAATTTGGAATATATTTGCATCCTTTTTAAAAAGATTACAATGATTAACTCCCTTTTAATAATAATAATAATAATCTTGAATACTTACATTTTGATCAATAAAATCAAATTCAGCTGCACAAATATACAACATGGTATGGAAATTTCTAAAATCAGAAAATTTACTACGGAAGATATCACCAATATGTGCCTGAAAATAAACAGTGATTATTGTTATATACTCTGGTTAAGTTATCAACGTATATACACTATTTGAACTTCATGATAAAGACACAAGTATCATTGTTATATAATTTCATGTTATTTATAAAAGTAATTGTGATCAAAAACATATTGGCCAACTTGCTTTTGCTTTCAGTATTTCCTAACAAGTATAAATAGTGAAAGAGTTTAAACATAAAGGACTGCTGAGGGTAACAAATATCAAAACTGCTTGTTAAAAATAGAATAGTAAGTTATTAATAAAAGAAAGAAAGTGACAAAATGGAAGACTAATAAACAGACTTACATCATCCTGTACTTGAAGTACTTTAGATAATAAAATTTTACATCCTACAGTTCCTCCTAATAACATAGTTCCTTGACCAATCTGAAATTTATTTGTTACAATTAAAACTAGTATGTGAATCAATAAAAATCAGACCTTTATGTATGAACTAAATGATCATCACCACTTTCGTAATTTCTTTATACAAGTAAAATATACAGGTTCTGTCACTGTACATAAAACCCTTCACTTAAGATCTATGAATATACTGTTGGTGAAAATTTATTGAAAATGATAAGGTTGCTTACAATTAAGAGTGATAATTGAGAGGCCTTTGAAGAATACCATGTTCATTTAGTAAGAAGATTCAGCTATATGTACTGTGATTTGAAGGAATATAACTTTAAATCAGAGTTCATTTGGTTCGGTTGCTTGATAGCGAAGGCCTAACTTACCCATATTATTAGTCTAAATCTCAATATATCTATCACTGGTTCTAGTAAAACTATGATCTAAAAAAAACAAATGTATTTTACAGACATCTTTCTTTAGATTAGTTTTTTTTATTAGGCTAGATTGTCATGTGTTTGGTAATCAGATTTTAAAAGTCTGAATCTTAATCAAGATTAAAAACTTCTAATACAATATTCATTTTTTCGAGATCAGCAAACAAATCAAGGTCAACTATTAAATAGTGTTATTGAATGACTAATGAAATGGAATAATCCAATAGATTGCTAGCACTGAATATAGTTCAATGTCTAGAGATATGAAACGAGCCAGAAAATAGAATACTCACTGAAACTGTGATTAACCCAGCAGCATAAAAGGAAGTTAACAACATTTCATTTCTAAACAATAACATATAACTTATCAATAAACCAACCTGAAATTCAAGTAATATCAGTATGTAAAAGTTTGTTTCTTAATAATGAGGGGAAAATGGATCTCTGAACGACGTAATGTCTTTATCAAATTCACCTGAGAAATAAATTTCAAATATGGCCTAATGTCTTTAACAACAAAACTAGACAATAAACAACACCATAAAGGTTGCCAAGTAGTTTTCTGATGCCAGATAGATTTCATATGAATTAAACGATAGTTATAATCTTTTGTTGACTAGAAATTTTCAAACAAACCATTTCAAATTAAAAGACTTTTATTAGATCAGAAATTAAACAAACCAGATACTTACCATTTGACCTAATAAAATAATTTTTATCTTTTTTCTATCTATAAATTGTAAAACATAAGTACCGAACACAGACATGGTTTGTGTTAACAGAGCAAATTGAGCAAACTGAAATTAAAACAATAAGTAATCATTAAAACCTTGTTTCAATTACTAAAATGTCAAGATTATATATTTCAGAAAGTCAGAGATAGAATTATGAGCTTTTATCAATTAAAGGTGTAATTTGGTCTTTTATAAAAAAAATTGACAATCCATTTAGATGTAAATTTTGAAAAATTGTCGACGCAAATGTGCTCCTCATATTAGAATTTTGAGCTCCAATATTATCAGTCTTTTCAAATTCGGTGGAGACCTTTGTAAATCAGTACATTTGAGTTCTACTATATTATGTATTTGAGAGATTGTGAATGAAACTTTCCCTTTAAAGAAAAATTTATATAACAATCAATGGACCTACCTGCCAAAACAACATAAAAGGAACACAGGCAATGGCTATCAATAAAGAATATTTCACTGTGGAGGGATTTCGATTTCTGTAAACAAAAATATACATCAAATAATTGAAAAAAAAAATTCAGAAAAAAATCGACAGATTTGGCATATAAACTTACATAAATTCAAAATATTATATCTACTATATTGATCTAGTTCAGATTTGGCGGGTGAGGTACAGAAAATAACACATCAACCTCAAAACATCTGATGACAAGAATTATAGTCTATGAAATATAGGAAGACACAATGACACAATAATTTGATTTAATACCTTAAAACATGAGTAACAACAAACATTTCTAAAACAAAAAATGGATATCCAAAACTTTCTCTTAATGGAGGTGTCCACTGTACTCTTGTACCCTGTAATTTAAACAAAACAACATTCTAAATCTATATTCAAACAGACTATAAGAAAAAAAGGAAATAATATCTAATGTAATACACTATTTTTAAAACAGAATACAAAAGGCCTGCATAACATGAACTAGTATAGCAGAATTCCTTTTACAATTCATTTAAAGGGCAAGTCAGCATTTTCAGGAATTAAATTGGGTCTTTAAAAGTACTAAAAAGGCATGAAAACCGCATAATCCCTTGAAATATACCTCAAACTAGAAATTTCACTATATATTCCTATATATGTGTTTTCTATATATGGCATAGTATAGTCTCACTAAAATTCAAGTCAAATTTTTAACTTTCAAACATGAATAATTATGGATACACATGGATTTGAAGGCTCAAATTTCGATGATGAGCTGTGAACACTATAATTACCGATTATGTAAACTAAACAGATAGTGAAGATGCTCCTTTAACAACTAAAATATGAAGAAAAAGAAATTTGTCTTAACTTTTGTATCACAAAATCTGTGTGTTAGATCAATTACCATGCCAAAAAAAGCTTACTTACCTCCCCATGGTTATAAAAAAAGAAAATAACTGTTAAAATTCCACCAAATAATGTACCACTAAGATAAGTACCAAATAGAAAAAATAATCCCATCATTGCTCCGTTCAATGCAAAAATATTTTCTATATAAAAATAGGCTGGATCACCTAACCCTGAAAACAAAATATTAATTTGTCATAAAATTCAGGGATTGTAATTATCAGTTAAATAAGGACATTGAGTTGATATATAATACAAAGTAAGTAAGTTGGCTTGTCATCTGCAAGACAAGATAAATCTACAATTTCATATTTGATTTAATATGGCCTGTCCAATTAATTTAAAATGGACTCTTGTTGAATGGATGGCAGAAAACAGACAATCACAGTTTCCTGTGGCGAGATCAAGATTTGTTTGTAAATTAGCTGTGGAAGATGTAAAATCTTACCTACACAACTTGGTACAGGGGACAGTCCTTCTCCTCTGTTCACAGTCCAACACTGTTTAGTTTGATACCCAAAATAGGAATTGATCCCTTCATACAGCCTGTATAAACCTCCCAATAAAACCTAAAGTTTACAGAAAATTAGACATAAGGATTGATCCATTGTCAAATCCAGTGAAATCGCAGATGCTGTTGATGTATTTATAATAACTGCCAGACAGTGACTGGAACATAGAACTGACTGATCTGTTTCATTTCATTTTGAAACCATGTATATGCTATATTTGGTCATAAAATAAAAAACCTTGTGTGTACCAAAATATTTAGAGTTATTGAGTAAATAGGTTAGAGAATTATAGTACCAGTTTTGATTGTCAAAGAATAAAAAATATGTAAAGCAGTAAATAAATAATGAATAAGATTTTAACTAAAAACAAGTTTTTACATTTTTCTCTTAGCTTCATATCACGTAATGTGAGATTTCAAGCGGTCACCCATGATAATAAACTTTAAAAATTTAGGACTTAATAACAAGAAGATTTGATTTTGGATGAAAGGGACAACACGGTCAATCAGGCATTCAGTTTGATGAGATATCTGGACTGGAATTATATAAAGTTGGCAAACTGACTTTCAGAGAGTATACATATCATAAGTTTGCAAAGATAATCAATATGCATGACCTGTATCACTATAGATAAGAATTATTTGAATTATGATTGACCTACCTCAGGGTAGAGATTAAAGCGTTTTAAAGTATTAATAGTATCAGGAAACTCTGTTACATTATCATGACTGATGGAATATATACCATCGATATAAGTATCTGTTTCTATAACAGTTTTAAAATATGAGTAATATAGACCCATCTCTGTACGGAATGATAACTCTCTTTCTAATGATGATAGATGTGAAAAATGACGATCTCTTTCAAACATCCCTGATACATAATTCCTGAAATAAAATTCAAAGATAATAAAACAAAATCTGTCATTTTCAAAGAGTCCATACTTTGTAATTTCTAATAATCACTTTCTGATGATTACAACATCATAATACCGGTACATAATATTTATCTCAAAGGTTATGACTATATCAATAGTGTATCTTTTTATATTTCACATGACCACACTGCAATTAGTAATGTAGTTATATATACATGTCATGTTTGCTCAGGCAAGTTGACCATGCTCCTACGCCTCACATCTTTGAAAAATCTCATCCCTCCCTGAGAGGGATTTTATAAATAAATTGAAGCAGCTTCTTGACCCATCTAACTAGCATCAATATCATGGCTTAAGATAATCTTAATTTTTAATTGCCACTGATCATGGTATTTAATAATAATAATAATATGTATATTTATATAGCGTTAAACTCCACACAAAAGTGTGCTCATAGCGCGACAAAAAAGGTATAAAGACTAACAAGAGTCAAATAAAACAGTTTTCACTTTGTTCTTGAGCATTTTGTGTTTTGGCAAGCATTTTAGACTTTCTGAAGACACAAGGAGGTTATTCCAAACGTTGGTTGCAGCCAATGAAAAAGCAAGGAAACCATACGTTTTCATGCTATAGTTTGACACTTGTAGTAGATTTTTTTCGCTAGATCTCAGATTTTGTGCAGGGACTTTCTTTGCAATAAGATCAGTCAGGTATTCTGGAGCCATGTTTGAGGTACATTGGTAAGTGAAAGAGGCGATTTTATAATCGATCCACTTCGATACAGGCAACCAATGGAGCTTTTTTAGAATTGGTGTAATATGGGCGTATTTTGCACTTTGCACATTTATTAATTATTGTGGGAGGTTGTTTGATGTCAATATAGCTCCAGCTGTCACCACAAAATATTCCTCCTATTTTATAATCAATTATTCTATTACTAACTGTATAATATCACCTCTTGGTCTAATACTATTATTGATTTGTATGAATAGAATAATATGTTATAATGCCCAACTTAGAAAGTTTACATCCATTATAGCTAAAGGCCTACTGAATTTCAAACAAAGTTCTGGTACCGAAAGGGCAAATTGAGCATAGACCTAGAGTTAAAATCTTTCTTGGACATAATAAAAAAGGTTTATCATGATATGAATTAATTTTTCTGCAAATAATTGGCAGTAAAACATACCTGTGTAAATATGAAATCCCAGCAGCTGGAAAATAAAGTAAACAATGAACCAAATAAATGTTAATCAAGAAAAGTAAAGTACCTTATCAATGTTACTAACAATGTGAACTCCCTTTTAGTCCTAGTAGTATAGCTGGTTTCATTTCATAAACTAACTAACCCAGCCTTGATAGGATTCAGGCTTGAAGTTCTATATAAGTTTCTTTCAATTCTGATGATCACTTAACCTTCTCCAAATCAAAACCTTTCACTGACAATTCCTTCTCTTTATAGATATTCCAGTAACCTGAATTCTAAGTCAAACCCTCACAATTTGATACTTTTCGAGAAAGATAAAGTAGATGGATAGGCCTATGGCATAATGGATCTGTCCACTGTAACTCTGTTATTTACAGTTAAGGAAAATTTGACTACACAGTAGGTAGTATGAGATTTTAATGTTAATCTCTATTTACTGACTACAGTACATGTACGAAGTATTAATGCTGAAAAAGTGTACAGATCAATCAAGTCAAGATATCAATAACAATAGCATTATGTCATTGTCATAGTTAAACTAGTTAAACTTGTTAAAGGCAGACCTAGTGGTAATTCAAATACTTACCTATAGTTATAATGAAAATTGTATAAGCAATCTTGGAAAAATTTACAGTTGATTTTATTTCTTTCGTTTCATTTCCTTTCCTCGATTTCTTTCCAGAATTCGCCAATCCATATGACTTGCCATTTTTAGCATCTGCATGTTGTCTTCGATGTGCTGCCATTTTCCTTTTTTAGGACCAGTCAAGTGTTTGGTTGTGAAGAGTTTTCTTACAAAATAACACTAAAACTCGCTGAGGCAACTAAAACGTGTCAATCATCTACCGTTAACGCGAAATTCGATCATTGATTTCACAAACTACACGTGAAAATCATGCTATTATTGGATCACGGTTGACATAATTGACACGGCTCATGAAATATCATAATATAGTTTTGCTTGATTGATTCCAAGATGGCCTTCACGGAAATTTCCTTATTAGGTTAAAATCGTCATCGTCCCTAGCAACCTAATAGTTTACATCTAATCGGAAAGTAATGACAACAAATCAGTGAACGGGTACCTGCCATAACAAGAAGAGTGTACCGGTACTTAAGGATCACTTTACTTTTATTTTCTTAACGGTAAATTATTAAGAACTGTTTATTTGTTATTCTTAGAGTTTATTCTACTCAAATCATGACGACGTTAGTCAATTCTAATTATGTTTTGTCGGATTCTAACTACCGAATTCGACCGGACATGAAAACTTATCTCATGACCGACAACAATGCTGGTGGACATTCCGTGAAACAAATCGAGCAAAGTAGGCGAATTCGACAGTTGAAATTTCCTTCTTTAAGAGGCAAACATGATTACAGTTCCATGCAGGATAGAGATGCAGCAGGGTTCAGAAAATACAATGATAATGGAGACCACAGAGTTCCAGCCCCTCACAGAGGTTATGATAATATTATTGACCCTACCACAGGATTTGTCAGTGCTGGAGGAGATCTAGACAGAGAGACAGGACACAAGAAAATTGAGACCCTGGTCCAGCTGAATGATAAACCCCAATCCAGTGAACCAAAAACTAAAACGCCTCTTTCACCTGGAAGTGTTCCAGCACCTGGTTTACATAGATCAGTCACCTACCATCCAGGAGCACCTAGTAAATGGAACAGTCGGAAGATATCAGATTCTTGGATTAGAGCACAACTTGGAGGTATAGTATATATCTAATTTTTTGACAATTTTGATTATTTTATTGATTATGTTATGACTAGTTTAAGATAAAAAAATGAATTTTCTGGTTATGTCAATGTCTTTGCATTATTTTATTTTATTGGCAGTTGGTTATATTGTTAAAAGTAAATGATCATGATGGGCTGTGAGTTTATAGTGTATCTATAATACCAACAACTAATTAGATTGGTTAACTTTATTCTTCAGGTTGGACTAGTGATCAGAATCCATTGAAAAATCCTTCAGCAGAAAAAGTTGCACAGGTAGATTTTTATTTCATTTGTCATCATCATTAGTACTATTTAGACCTTACAATTAAAATAGGTTGATAGTAAGTGGTCAATGTTCATTTAATTAAATGATATTTAAAGTTTTTGTTGTGGATGGTTTGTCTGGTTCCAAAACTAATGATGTCATTTATTCTATTTCAGAGTATGTTTGTAGAAAAACAGCCAACTGAATTAAGTAAAGGGCCCAGGGATGAGCTAGCCAGAAAATTTATGTACAGTTCTTCAACCCAGAGGTAACCTTACTTCTAATTTCTCTTGGGTGAGAAGCCAAGGGGGTGTCATAATGAAGTTAAAAAGTGTAGCACATACTAACATTACCTGATCTATTAGAAATGGCAAGGCTTTTTACAGAAAGTGCTCTATTGTAAAAACTTGGCTTTTTCTCATTCCTTTCCATTGTAAATGGTCCATTATAGCTTTATGGGATCATTTCATGTCTACCAATTTGAACTTGACTTCTTGATTGCGGCTTAGATGTAATATGGCAGTTTCCATCTTTTAATTCTTTTTATCATGCAGCTTATAAAAGCGTTCCTGTCACATACCATCCTGTTTTCTCCAACATATTTATTTCTATCTATCTGTCTGTAATGTGTAGGTTTTATGAAGATGTGGACTGGGACAATATGTTAAATGATAAACCATGGCCACATAAAACAACTTTAGAATTACGTCCTGATATGGTCTCACACAGATTCTCCACTAAAAAGTATGAACCTAAAGCTCAGGAGTGGCAGGTAACTATATATTAACAGTTAGTTTTAATCTGTTCAAGGCCCCTGCTCTGCCTTTCGATGAAGGTCTTAAACTGTTGCAACTATATCTCAAATATGGTAATAGAGATAAAAGTTAGTTTATCAAATGAAATAATCTTGTAAAATTTTATACTTGATGTATGTCAAAGGTTATTAATCATCAGTCAGTTGAGGGGCTCTGCCTGTCATGTCCAGCAAATAGGGTCAAATCAACAGCCCTGTCTCCAAATATTTGTTTTACCAGCTGATTTTACTCTATATTTAGTGATCACTGATGTCACTGGATGAGTCGAGTGTTATCAGTTTGAGTGATTGCTCTAACCATTCTATGTATTATTTTAGGCTGTTGGTAAATCTTGGGATAGGTTTCAGAAACGAAGTGGATACTATGAAAACAGACCTGTTACATTGTAAGTAAACATTATTTCCTGTGTAAAATTGACATTGTCATTAATTAAAAAGTCTCAGATCTAATTTGATAGTAAAGGAGAAGTCCTCATGAACTTACCACAAAAACTGACTTGGAGCATAGACTGTAATGAAGTAAGCTTCTAGTTAGATTAAATAGATATTTGGTAACAGTACATCAAGACCAGTGTGAATAGGGATTCACATAATATTTCATCATTTGAGGTCATAAGAATAAGTGTAAAGTGTAGAAATTTAAGATGTGAAACTCTGTTTCAGTTTGCAATAAATTATATTTAATACTTGAATATTTCAGCTGTTGTCCTAGTTCTAGAACCAAACAAATACCATCTTATGGGTAAGTAGGATTAACAGATATCATTGATAAAATAAATATACAATTCAAATAGATATGCTAAGACAGATTTGACAGATTTGCCAAGTAGTCCCACTTACAAGGTCTTCATATGTCAAAAATGATGTCTGATAATGATAAAGACAATAGGATCTCTCTGCAAGTAATTTATAAGTTATTTATTATAACTATATGAATATATTATATAAATATCATATTGATTCATCATCTTAATATTATTTTCAGAGGTTCTATTGGAGCTGTTAATTTAGAAGAAATAGATAATGCTAACATTCCATTTGACCCACTGACAGTAAAACGTGTTCCTATACCTCGACCAACAGATACTTCACAGTAAGTTCTGCTTTAATTTATGAACCTGATGACTAGCATCAGTAGGAGGAAATATATTTGTCAAAGATTGAGGAGACTTCATAGCATCTAGGAATTTGAATGTGATGACACATACTGTGTCTATTACAATCTAAAAATTGGGGCTGTCTGTTGTCAATAACATTAACATATTATATAACTGTCTTCATTAGCATCATATGGTTAAAATATGAAATGAACATTAACCTTTCAATTTATCACATTTTAATTTATATTTGTAGTACACCTAATATTCCTGGTTATGAGGGTTGTACATTATATAGAGGTCGTTATGAACCAGCTAATTCAACTCCCATTAATTCTACCATGAATCAGGCTTCAACAGCCTTGGTACACAGGTATGTACATAGTCTTTATCTATCACTGACTATCCTGTAGGTCAACTGGGTTCAATCACATTAATACAAGCAATTCAAATAACTTTATGGCTGGATTTTAACTTTAGCTTAGTTGCTTTGTATTGTTTTAGATCAATAGAATTCATTGAAAATATTATATGAAGAAGAATTTATTGTTTGATTGATCTTTCGTTAGTCTTATGAAAAAATACAAAAACTATCTCCTTTTAGTCTCCAGGATTAAAATATGAAAATTATCTCCCTTTAATCTCCAAAATTAAATACAAGAATTATTTCCCTTCTCTAATAGAATAATAATCTAGATAAAGTCATTGTAGACTGCACTATTTGAAGTATTTTTAATAGAGTAGAGAAAGCTCTTGCTTGTATATGACTCCAAAAAGTGAATCTTTGACCGACTGTACATTCTGTTATTTTCAGAACTATACAGAGTATTCCATCTTCAGCTATAAATAAAAGAGAATCGGCCATGTCTAAGATGGTGACCCTGGTTCCTCCCTGTAACCCTTTTAAATCCTCTATGAAAGAGGGTGTGGTGACAGTCGCTTAAAAACAGAAGTCTAAACACAGCTTACTCTGTTTAAAAATTTAAATATAAATGAATCTGAATTTTCTATCTTTCTTTCACTTTTGATTGTATGTGTATAGGTCTTCTTAGCAACATTTTTGAGAATTTTCTAAAAATCTTCCTAGTTACCATGCCTTACCTTCAATGTCAAAAATTATATTGCCAGGGGCAGTGCCTTGAAAGGTTGGCAAAGATCTGACCAAAGAGCATTAATATGCATCAGGTACTACCTGGCCTTTTCTTATTTGATACTTTTTAAATATTTGTTATTCAACATTGTAATTTACCTATGTCGACTGCGATTAACAGTTATGTTGTATGATAGGCCTGTGATTATTGCTAATAAATGGTTACCAATGTATATATTTTGACCTGTGATTATATATATATATCTATTTATAATATATCTACCAGCATTATTACTGTTATTTGATATCAATGTGTACTATTTATAATATTGTATACAATTTACTTGTATTATTGTTATCAGTATTATTGTAAATATTACATACCCTATTAATAATATACACTTACTGGTACCAAATATTACAGTTCTTTAATATGTGTTTTTAGTTTTTCTGATCATTTTATTCCCATTTATGGCTATTGAACCATATTTCAAATCAGAATATGTATGTACTGATGATAGAAAATTAAAGAGTTGCAGATGTCTTGTCCTCCTCTCTTTTTCTATTTTTTTTTAAATGGATGGGCTATTCCTTGATGAGATGTAATTGTTTTTTGCGGTCGAAAATGGGTTATTTACTAAAATTTTGGCAGGAATATACTGTATTTTATCGAGAAAATGAAATGAAATTTAGTCAACGCATGGGACGTAACTCTTAATACTCATACATTATTTCGGATCATATTTATATCAGATGATCGCCAACACTCATCTCAACGTATTAATTCACTAAATAAAATGGAGTAAAATTGTCGAGCTGTATGTCATTTAAAATGCTTGTAACTACAGTCGGAATTTTTGATTTATTGGTTCAAAGGTACGGAATTTGAGAAAGTGTCAGACCAATTTCGGATAATAGGCCTAGTACTACAGCCAGTGCCGACTATATAGTATAACTATTGCTGCAGGCATTGATAGCCATACTTATAAAGGCAACAACGTCTGAGTTTACACCTGAGGACTGAGGACTTATTTGCATATCAATCTTTAAATCTGTTTGCCAACTGAAATCTTCCTGTAGTGGTAGTTTTATTTTATTTGTGTGAACTGCAGGTCAAAACCTGTAATCCTATTATCCTGTTACTAACTGTTAATCCGAATCACTGACTTGATCAGGTTAACTGATTATTTCAAGTTTTAATTATTATTAAGACATAGACAACACTGTTCAGGGTAAAAAAAAAAGGAGAACATTTAGTCACGACTATTAAGAAAGTCTACAATGTTGAACAAAAACGAAAATTCTTGATTGTATCTAAAAGTATATGAACAATCTTATTAAGTCCTAACTAAAGGTCCGATTGCGATTTCCATGATTATGCTGTAGTTCGATGCAACGTTACATTTTATATGTATAAGTCCAATATAAGTACAGACCATGTTATTCTGTCCAGTCCCAAGATCTAACCTTTTTCTTAACCATGGAAGGCCCATTGAAATAACACACACGAACCTAATTCACATCCATTTTGAATCACTACCTGATTTGAAATTGAAGGCTTAGTTGAAATATAATAACTTTTTTAAAACTTCGACTTATTATGTCGAGATAGAGAATCAAAATGGTTGTGAACTACATTCGTGTGTGTTATTTTCATGTAAGAACCATGCGTAGTTTCATATTGGTTATGGCCTAGAGGTGTGTATCATCAATCCTCGTTGTATGTTTCAATTAGTCGACATTCATATTTTGGTACAAACTTTACGTAATGGCTATATGGCTTTTATAAAACCTGTCTCGGTCTTATGATATATTGAGTTAAAACAGTCTGCAATTGTGTTTACCTTGATGTTTATATTTTGTGTGATTATGCTGTCATATTGGACAAAATTTCAATGGTTCAAATAAAATCTTTCTTGAAATTGGATGATCATTTGTTAGCAATTTGTGCGCAGTTACAGACATTGGAAAAATCGGTAGATTCGGATTAATAAAATCAAAGCGACCTGTAAATCACGACTATTCAAGGACCTCGTTTTGGTTATAGCGGAAGTAGACTGATTGAAAGGCAAACCGAAGCTTATCGCCTGTAGAGAAGAAAAGTTAAATTTTTATCATAGAACTAGTTGAAAAAGTCTTTACTTCAATTGAAAATGAGGGAAAATGAGCCGGAAGAGAAGTGAAACGCAAGTTTCGTTTTGTAAGTTATTTATTGCAGTGGTGAGACTCATATGAAAACTGTGAGTAATGCAATGGAGAGACAGAAAAAAGTTCGATTTCTCACTCTCTGTCTCTGTCAGACTTAGAAGTTACAGGCTAGGACTATTAAAGACAGTGAAATTGTCAGTAACAGAATGTCTGTTTTAGAAGTGATGACATGAAGTCCTGTTTTTATAAGTAATTGGAGACTGATTTTTCATCTTTTATCTCCAGTCAATTTAGGCCCTAGGCTATTGATAAGCTTTTTGCCTTGATATACTACAGTGGTGTAACCTATTTTCGTGGATATAAGGATTCAACACCAAATTTCGTCAAAGTTAAAAGAAAGGAAAAAAAAAATTATGTCTTAGAGGTTTTCTCAGATATTCTACCAAATAATTGAAATTGGTTTATTTCGATTTTCTTTACGAATCCTTCACTTTGACCCATATTTCATGAGCAACCAACTTGGCAACGGTGGCAGAATGCCTCCCCTATTTTCGTGTACAATGTTTGATCTATAAATAAGTCTCGAAAAACATGGATACCGGGTGGTATAATTAACTTCTCTTAGTATTTATCTTTAATATCAATTCATTATAACTAGTGACAATTCCTTCAAAGAACCATGATTTAAGAAAAAAATAGCGACTGACAAAATAAGATACGTAGCGTGATTTATTGCTAAAAGTCACTGAAACAACATAAGAATATGGCCCACTTTGTGTTTCATAGAAATTTTCTGCTGACACGGAATCGGCTAGTTGATCACGTGACTTCATTCGTTGGGATATATTCTAGCAGACGACAGTTGGAATTCCGATTACCGCTTGGGATTATAAGGAAATTCGGCCAATAAAAAATGGTGACGTTTGGTAATAAGTGAAATCCGCCATTTTGTATTTGTCAAAGTATACATTATTACACTTTACCTTTCTTGAAACTACTGAATTCATTCTACTAGCTGATATTGTAGAGAAAACCCATGTTTATCAAAACAAACTAATGCGGAGGTCGCGCAAGGTCGTTCATGTAAATCCACGAATAATAGGTTTCCACGAAATTAGGTTACTTGACTGTCTGGTACTAAAATTTTAGTTTAGGACATGTCTGCAACATAACTTAGAGGACATTTTCTATGAAGTGACAAGCCGAAATAGACATAAAATAGTACATCGAGTTGTTCTTTTTTATGAGATAATACATTTTGTGTTTTACATTTTTTCAGGGCAATAAGAAATGTGGAATCCAATTGTCTCAAACATATAAACCAAGACAGAATCAAATAGATATTTTGACAAAATGAACGGATTAAAATTAGGACAATATGTACCATCAAGTGTAATTAATACAGATCCCCTGACAAACAAATATACTGTCGAAGACAACATTGGCAGGTAGGCTTGAATTTTTCATTTTTACCCTTTCAGTTTATTCAAAATTGGATTCTCTTTCAAAACTAATTCTTGTTTGAAAATTAATGCAAATGAACTATGAAATGAGTGTCAGCTGACAGCAGTTAATTCTGTTAGAAAAATTTCAATTTGATTATCTTTATTGGCTCAATAAGGTAGAAAAATGTAACTGACATAAAAATATTAATTTCGATTCAGAAATGTAAGCTTATTGAAATGAAAAAAATAAGATCATTTTATTACTCGACCATTTAAAAGATCAAATTAAACCAGTTTTATGAGAGAGACTTTAAAAGGGACTGGTCCATATCAAACCACATCAACAAAAGATTAAGCTTACTGCATAAAATTTGTCATTTGATATTCTGAACCTTTCCTTTAATTATCAAACCCTTTTAGCTTTTAAGAGGTAATTTTTTCTTCTTGAATTACTTGTACTGGTAATAGATGAAACAAGTTTTGCATTCTCTTATGAGAGAACTGTTTTGTGTTGATGCATGACCTATTTCTTGAATAGACCTTAAACTCTACTTAAAATTATATCATATCTGAACTGATCTCTTTGTTAATAACTAGTTTTTACAAAAGCTGTTTTGATTTCAAACCCTTAATAATCTGCTCTCCTTTAAATATGGTTTCTGATTTGAATTTGACTGTTGTTTCCAACACATTGTTTAGTTTTGGTTCCAAGATTATATTTAGATTGAGTAAGCTTATACCTAGACACATGCTTGAATAATGATATATTTATAAACTTATGTTTTACAAGCTCAGTTTAATTGTTTACAACAAATAAATGAAATAGCTTTTAACAGCTTTAATTATTTCAAACATAGAAAGTTTATTTCTCTGCATTGAAGTTTATTCAATTATGATCTCATCAAAAAAAAAATGCTTGTGAAATGCAGTAAATAGAAAATCACAGCTATTCATATACTATAAAAGAATAAAAAATGAGAAATCAGTGAAGCAAATATTGTTGTTAGCTATTCTCTTTTTTGTAGTTTGAATATAAAATATAGGCAGGACACAGGATTGGTTGTTATCAAAAGGAAATATTTAGTCAATGGTTTGTGGTTAGAATTTGATTATGATATATGACAAGAGAGAAGAGGTCAACTGACAGATATTTCATTCGATTTTTGAATTGATTAAAGTCTCTAAAACCTTGACCTAAAATAGGCTAAAAAAATCTCTGAAACTTAATGAGTGACAAAACCATGAAGTTTAATAATTGATAATAGGCAGATTTGTCATTTAAATAAGGGCTTTTACAAATTGATTCGCAAATATGGCCTGTATGCTTACTTTCACCATTTTAATGGTTTATCACTGTTATCCTTTCACTATAATGGTAACCAATTAAACTTTCACCCCTTAATCCCCATAGAAGCAACCTGACCTGGTTTGACTGTCAACAGTTAATAATCACTGACCATGATGATAATATGAAGGTGACAGCAGATTGTGTTTATATTGTTATGATAAATATCACTGGTATGCTAGGAATGTAAGCTGTAGGTCTCACTAACTAGGTATTGATGTATTATAACTGAAGTGTCACAAATCTCTATCAGCTTGTTATTGAATTCTACCAGGGATGTTGAAATAGCTCTATATTTACCAGTTATGTCTGTAGTTTCTGGTAGTAGCTAAATTGTCAGCTATAGGTCTCCCTTACTATGTACCGGTATTGATGTACTTGTGTCACAATATATAAATTGTATATCAGCTTGCTATTGAATTGGACCAGGGATATTGATATCGCTCTGTATTTACCAGTCATGTAAATCACTGCAAGTTGACTATTATTGATGTGTTATAACTAAGTGTCATAAATCTCTTTGATCAGCTTGTTATTGAGTTTTACAAGGGATGTTAATGTATGATACCTGTATTTACCAGTCATGTGTGGATAGAGATTCTAACAGTC